ATGATCTTCCCAGTGTCACCAACGAGCAGAGAAACCTCGCCGGTCATACGGCTGCCACTTTTGTCACGATACACGACTAGGCTGATCGCTAACCCAAAAGAGTCAGCGTATGCAAGAAAAATTCAGGAATCCTCCTACTACTGACATTCTCCAGCTCTGGCCGTTAGTGCCGACTGCAACTCTTTCTTCCAAGTCTTCATCGCTTCTTCATTGATCAGGTTGAATTTCTGTAGACGTTCCATAACATCATCGAGAGACCTCCAATAATCAATGGAACCCTCATAAGGCCTACTAGACCCGAAGCCGAAGATCGTGCCCCAAACAGACGGTGTGTGTCAGCCCAAAATGTACTGAAAACTCCTGAGTGAATTCTGCCTATGTATTTTCCAGCTTGGGACGCTGACATTGCTGGTTCCTGTCCAAAATATTGATCACCTATGTGGAGACTCGGAATTGCCATCCTTCGGTTCTCTTTCTCGTCGATGACAACTGTTGATATATATAGCCTGATCTCTAAATCCCAATCAAATGAGTAGTAGACAAAAAATCAGAGAATCTCCTACTCACCCGTTGTTTGTGGCATTTGCGCCGACTCTAGCTCTAGTTTCCAGTTTTCCATCGACACATCATCGATTACATGTAGTTCCCTCAGACGATTCATAACATCATCGAGAGACCTCCAATATATAACAGAACCCTTATCCTTAGGACCCGGAGCCAAAAATCGTGCCGCAGAAACTCGGTATATGCTAGGCCAAAATATGCCCTGTGAATCAGAAAGGAAGCGAGCTTGGCCAATGAGTTTCCCGGGGGGCACTTGCGCTCCTGGATCCAAGTGTCCGAAGATATGGTGATCTATGGTAAGAATCGGGAGTACCATACTTGCGGCCTTTCCCTCCGAGTCGAGGTAATTGGAAACTGTTTCGGAGAGAAGGATCGCTGCATTTCGGGTTTCGATTCAGCCTATGATCGGGTGGTGGCATAACAGGGCCTTGTGCGAGCTAGCCTCACTCACGGTATTCGTACGCGAACTTCTGGTCTATTGGACGAGCGATGACGGCAATGCTGCTGATGCACGCAGCAAGACAAAAGATGGAGCAAGGGCGCAGAGAAAACAAAGTTGAGACATGAGCCCGTGTAATCCGGGTGAAAGCGTGGACGAGAGGCATTGCAAATGCGTTTGAAAACTTGGTTCAAGTGGTGGAGTCCAGCCTATACTATGGATCAGAAGAGGAAACGTTGTCAGCAATCAAAATGGATTCCTCACCGTTGGACTCCTGCTGTTCTTCAAGGGGAACGTACGCTGAGCCGCAGTGAGGGTGGCAAGACGAAAGAAAGATTGCATACATATTGAGCTTTTTTGGCCTACACTCCGGGCAACTTCAACTTTCAAGCCATCGACCATCGGTCCAACGGACATCAGCGTATAAGCGACAAGGCAGTGCCTTCGCTTCGCTCCGTATCAATATAATTTCCAAGGGCGCGAACTGGCCTGACCACTGTGACCAGGCGCGACCTGGCGCGAATCGACCCCCTTTGATTATGTACTAACTTGCAATAGAAAAGAGCTGACGAGTGATCAGTCTGAGGAGGTGCTACAAACATTATAAGAATACTCAAGTTCAGCAGATGATGTACCGCGCGATGAGATGTATGACAGAAAAAGACGCCAATCGTATATTCCCTGTATAAATCTTCGACGAATGCATTATGCACACTAGATATCATGTTATTGTGCAATAGGTTAGATGATTCGAATTGCCTGATTAACAGAGAGTCAATCAGCTTGTTCAATACATGATGAATTGATCTCACCTCTTCCTTCCCGATATCCCACACCCACCCACTGATCTTTGTCCCTCGCAGAATGAGGGGATGGGTTCGAAGGAAATCGACTTCGGATTTCAGGGAAGATAACAACGGTGAATCTAATCCTCTTGTCGGTTTCGAAGACTCGCTCGCCTGGGGTATGCTTGTTGATGTACTAGACAGATTCGAAGAGACACCAGGCCATTCCAGAAAGTCCATCTCGTCCACCATACGTCCAGTCAATTGTTTGTCCTCATCCATTGAATTTTCCGTGACAAGAGTTCTCAAGTAAGGTTTTGAAAAAGTGGCCATTCCGCATCCGGTATGATGATAGACCGCGATTTCACGAGTGCCCAGAAGACGTTGGGATATGACGAGTGAGCGGAGAGCATCTCGACTACGGTTGAAGAAGGGCAGAATTGGAAAGAGGAAGTGTTACCTAGCATAGACGTGATAGAGGCAGAAGACTTACGCCATTCCACCGGCGTTCCTAATGATATGAGCCTCGCCTGGTTTAATGCCTAGTTGGGTGAACGGACTTTTTCCGAATTGTCATTCAAGGAGAAAAGACCCGGGATGATGAACAGGAACGTATGGAATTCAGTTGGTGAATGAGCATAGTTTCGAAGTGGGATTGGACCCACTTGATTCGTGCGTCCATACAAGTCACTATAATCGTGATTCAACATTATTCGAAAGAGATCAAGACATAGATACCTATGGCCAATTTTTTTGTCGGGGGCAAAGCAATCGGAGGTTGAACATCTTTGGTCGAGCTCGAACAATGCCTGACCACACCAGCTCCAGTAGATATTCCGGGAGAGCCCAACATGTTGAACATATTGCTGTTACATGCGTAGAGCGAATACGCAAGGTGACGGAAGGGCATGCTGGTTTTTTGTTTTAACAATGACTCGAGAGTCGAAGGAACTTAGAATGGAAATTTAAGCGCTCGCACGCCGACGAGATGAGTTGGGCGCTTATGTTAGAGTGCCTTGTTTACAGAAACTCAAAATATACGTGGTACACCGCAGCCCCGCCAAACTCCTTGCCAAACTTGTCTTTCTCTCACACCGCCCATCTCATTCCACATCTTGATTTCACGCCGGGACTACACTCGAGAGCTGGAAAAGAACCGCCTACTCCACCAGCGGATAACACAAATTATCTAACCACCAGAGTGCCAGCGTAATGGACCATCTATCTTCAACACTAACAAACCTCAAAGACCAAGCCAAAGACGCACTATGGGCTCTCTCCGCAGGCTGGTCGAGCTGTGTGATGTGTCAGCAGGAGGCCAAGGTGAAGATTAACGGTAGAACGTGTAAGCTCATTGGCATGTTTTACGGAGAACTAGATATTGACCAGCTGTTCCCATCATCGTATCTAGTCAAAATATTAAAAGTCCTGGGAGAAGGAGGTTTCTCTTTTGTCTATCTAGCGCAAGATGAAGGAAGTGGAGTGAGTGCTTCTATCTTACTACTGGCCATGTTGCTGCAATATCGCTTACACCAGTCTTTCTAGCGTCAATTCGCCCTCAAGAAGATCCGCTGTCCGACAGGCAACGATGGCGTGAAGGAAGCCATGCGCGAGGTCGAGGCCTACAGAAGATTCCGACACCCAAACATTATACGCATCCTTGACTCGGCTGTTGTCCAGGACGATGACGGAGAAGGGAAAGTCGTCTATCTATTCCTCCCACTATACCAGGTAGGCCAATACTCTTCGCTCATCCTTACTAGGTTTATTGGCTCAAACTCAGTGTTCATTAGCGAGGCAACGTCCAAGACCTCATTAACGCCCATCTCATCAACCATTCCCACTTTTCCGAACTGGAAATGATCAAGCTATTCAAAGGCACGTGCGAGGCTGTGAGGGCAATGCATGAATGGAGACCTACGAAGGGCTCGAAGAAGGGCAAGGGAACCAATGCAGACCGGAACAGAAGAGCGAATGGTGTCCGCGGGTCGAGTTCCCAGGGAAGGCCCAATGGAAATGCGTCGAATTCGCATGGAGGAGGAGGAAGCGGCGATGAAGATGACGATCATAGGTTCCCTGAACCAGAGGGCGATGCAGAAGGAGGATACTCCTATGGTCCTTCAGCGTCTTTGTCTAGAAACAAGCCATCACGGAGTGCTTCCGGTTCTGTGCCGCTAATTAACAGGGATGAGGAAGAAGGATTGATGGGAGGGAATGATACAGGAGGAGAGGTGTTGTTCGATGGAGATGAGGATGTTGCTGGAATAGATGGTGAAGGTGGCGCTGGTGAAGAAGGCGAGATCGTTCCGTATGCACATAGGGATATCAAGCCTGGGTGAGTAATGCTCTTCTCCTTACTTTCTTTTGCCGTAGATGCTGAGCTCTCGTTTCGTTCCACAGAAACGTTATGATATCGGACGAGGGCCGACCTATACTCATGGACTTTGGTTCCACCATGAGAGCGCGAATCAAAATCGAGAATCGCTCGATGGCGCTATATCAGCAGGTTCGTTTTCCTAGCTTGATACACTTGTTTCTCATACTCGACTGGATACTCACACTTGTCATATCAGGATATCGCTGCAGAGCAATCAACAATGGCATACCGCGCACCAGAACTGTTCGACGTCAAGACTGGGACTATGTTGGACGAAAAGGTTGATATATGGGTAAGCCTCCCGCAACTCTGTCCAATCTATCTCCCAAATGCTGATATATCTACCCACAAAGTCCCTCGGATGCCTTCTATTCGCCATGGCCTACTCACACTCCCCATTCGAGAACACCCAGACGACTGAACAAGGCGGGTCCATTGCCATGGCTGTGCTCAACGCACAATACAAGCACCCTCGTGGGAGCGAAGGAAGGTATTCGAATGGGTTGAAGGAGATGATTGACAGAATGCTAAAGGTGGATCCTGGGGAGAGACCTGGGATTGGGGAGGTTCTGGCGATGTGTGAAAGCGTGGAGAGGAAGTTGAGGTAGTCGTTAGAGAGAAGATAGCCGGGCAGGTGCTATGTTTTGTTCCATTGTTATGACTATTTAGTCGTTCCTACCTTACACCATGGTTCGGTCGACACTGAGCTGGGGGTTATACGGTTCTACCACGTGTGGAACGGTTCCCCATTGATCACTCTCTTTGTTTTGCCTCGAGATGTGCTGGTATTGCTTGTTTAACAATGATGTTGGTCAGTGAACCCTGTCACATATCGGCCCGCCTAGCTCAATCGGATAGAGCGTCAGACTCTTACTACATGTACTAGGCAGGTATCTGAAGGCTGCGAGTTCGACCCTCGCGGTGGGCTATCTTCTTTTTTCTCTGCCTTTTTTTGTTACATTCGAAGTTGACTAGAGTTGACTATAACGAACGTGGGCCCGATAGCGATATGTCTGTGGGAAGGAAGGAAGGAAGGAAGGAAGGAAAGTACACGGCTCCACCAGAGGTGGGGTCCCACAAGGGAACAGCCGGGTGGGTGAAAATAAAATTAATTCAAAAAGGATGATTTTCCTACATAAAAAGAATGTGTGGAGGAAGGAAGGTTGGATATCTTATGAATCTATGATGTGGCATATGGTCAGTTTCTGTGGGTAATTAGCGAGGACATTATTACCTTCATCTGAAACCCATGTTTTGAATTCATGAAACCACGGCTGTTCCTCTGCATGGGTCCTGCCTAACGACTTCATCTTCTCTCTCGAGAATTCTGGCTCGCGAGACTAGGTCCTGCCACGCTATCGAGCTCAAGGTCTAAATTAGCAAGCTTGACTTACATGAGTCCGCCGCCTACGGGAGAGTAAGCTCAAGGGAAGCGAGCACCATGGACTTTCGGAATACTTCGATCTTCCGACCTTCGCAAAGGCTCTCCAAAGCAGGTCGATCTTATATTTTTCAAGCCTCCGCACTCAAATTCAGGTTAGTTGAACACTGTCATTTCTGAAAACCCTCAGTTTTCATGAAGATGTCCGACGACAGTATTACAACTTGTTTAGACTCTTGAATCTAACGACCGTACTAAGGATACGAAAAATCCTGATCATAGTGCCACCCACTTTCCGAGCTGTTTCTGAGCTGATATATTGAGCTGATACTCTGATATAGTACCTACCCTGCTCGAATATATCACGTACTACCTTTCACGATAAATACTAAAACCTGTTCCTTCCAAAGAACTCGAAACTCTGTGCCAGGAACATAGCGACCTTGAGCTAGTAGACATACATAGATTGGAGTTGGACGTTTCATGAGCGAGGCCACTTCTCTTTCCGACATATTATTCGAGTCAGCCAGCTACTAGCCTGGACAAGCTAACGATGGCACAACTTTGGCTCATCCGTAGACTGGCCACATTGTATTATGATGGGTTCATCTGATATATCTTGTATTGTGGACGCGCGGAAGGGCAAATGTTAACCCTGTGTTCACTGGTAATGATGGACCGCGTCCCGACTTATCTCTTCTCTCGTTCATCCTTCTAGAGCACACTGATATAGTATCCGTCAGTGAAATCAAAAACGAATTCGAAATTGAGGACCGTTGGTGGAATCGTGATATCGATTCTTTCCGATTATATGTCCCCCTTCCCGAACTCGTATCATACAACAATCATGGTCTGTCAATTATCCTGGTTTTTGTTTCATCTGTCGCGTTGAGCCAGAGCCTGGCACAGCACCTTTAACTCTGGATACTACTCTGTTAACTCTTCAAGGGTCTCCTCAGATCCCTCACTGGGCTAGTTTCCTGAGGTGTAATCTGACCTACAAACTTCAAAGTCGAAGGTCAGACTGTGGGTACAATTTCCAAGCTCGAAGGTAAGAGAGACAGCAAAGAACTAGTACATACGCAGATCTGGAATGGGGTTTTGAATATGCATTGCCAATGACATTTTGACATATCTATAGATCACTTCAGCAGCCTTGCATTTTAAACCGTGCGGGAGATAAAGACAGTACCGTAGTGTATTATGCATTGAAACAAGGCGGGGAGCATCTGCTACTCCGAGTGCCAGAGTGTAGACAGACTCCAAGTTTTTGAACGGATGTAGTAAGCACACTCACCCATAAACAGGATAATTCGTAACGCGTAAGCCAGCTAGCTAGAGTATAAAAGGTGGGCGAAGATCGACATGAGAAGCCTCAAGCTTCTGGCAAGCCTTTCAGCACTCACAACACTTAGTACAACTCTCTTTGCCGGCCAAAGGAATTGTATCATCGTCTTCACTCGACCAACCAAAAAATTCTCCATCGCACACACAAAGCTCGCATTCACGAGCTTACCCCCTACTAGTAACTCCTACTCGACACTTTTAAATTTGACTTAACCCGTCAGTCGCCATGCGTTTCAATATTGCTTGCTTCGTCCTTGGGCTGTTCGCTGCTGCCTCTGCAGTCCCCATTGCCGTGAGTACCGCCTTCCAGTCATACCATGACATCTGAAAGCAGACATTGATCATCTCGTGATAACACAGGTCGACAACAACGGAGCCGCCGTCGAGGCTCGTGCTCCCTCTGACCACGATCTTGACCTTCGCCAGCTCGGAGGCCCTATCGCAGTGAACGTCTACCACGCTCGCGGTACACAGCTCTTCAACGCTCGAGGCGAAGAGATCGATGCTCGAGAGACCTTCGGGCTCACCTCCGCCGACCTCGAGTCCCGCGAAGCCTTCGTAGCAGCTCTATCCAACCTCTCCAGCCGCGCTCGCAACAAAGTGACGATCCGAGTCACGTTCCACAACGATCTCACGTCCGATTCGAACAACCCCGATCGGGCGAAAGCACAGTCCAACGCCAAGAAAGCTGTTCAGTCCTTGCTCAATGCTGCAGCGAAGGAGTTGGACTTGGAAGGAAAGACGTTGGATGTCGTTTTCTTGAACGACTACCACACCAGTCGCTCGGAGGACACGAATCATGTTACGTTTACCTTTGAGGAGACCGTTTGTGAAGGAGAATGTACTGGGCATGCTTTCGGAGGCTCTAAGGGCGAAATTTTCAAGCATGACAGTACGAAGATTTACAGCAAGCGGGTAAGTGTTACATACCTCTTTTTTTGGTCTCTTGACTTCGTCTGATTCGGAAAACCACTACCAGTGAATTTGTCAACGATGCCGCGAGCAGCGCTGTTTGTTGACGATCAGAGTAGTGTAGTTAGAGTGTAGTTGGAGAAATAATGAATGAGACGAGAATCTGGTGTTATTAGTATTACACCTTGTCCCACTTGTTAGAGCTGGCAGGTAGTACAACAAGGTAAAGAGTGATCCGTTCACGTCGTCGTCAGAAGTTCACAATCACTGGTCGGGATAATAATGCTCGAGAGTGTTGGATGGTTCGTGACGCGTGAAGGATGGGAATGAGTGCAATGACCTTCCAGAAAGCTCGTGGGATGGCAGATGGCAGACGACCAATGAGAACACAAAGACGGCTCCATAAGCAACTCGCAATTCAGGTAGTCGAGCATCAACAAAGTTCTGAAATCTAGTAGACTCTACTTAGCCTATCGCCTGTGTCACCTCCTTCGATTTCTTCTTCTTCTTCCGCGGACGGATAGAATCCAGCAGAGGTTCTGAGTTTGATACAGAATTCGTCACGAGAGCTTTACTCGTGCCTCTTGCAGTTTTAGTAGGCAACTGCATGGGCTTGGGCATTGCCTTTCCACCCATAAGCACACCCGACACGGATGTTGTGCCTGTTATTTTCGCGGATTCGATTGTCCCGCTCGAGTCTGTACTAGCTTTTCTCACCGACTGCCTCTTCGTCTTATCCATGTTGCCATCATTGTCACCTTTGATCGACCTCTTCTTAGTTTTCATCACTTTTGGTGTCTTGACTGCATCAGTCGCACGAGCATCTTCGTACAAAGGATCTGGCACAGTGAAGATGGCGCTAGTCGCGTTGATTTTAGAGCGAGATTTGGACTGTGATCTGGGTGCTATGGATTTATTTCTGACGCTTGAGTCTGAGGACGAATTGGGTTTGGAGGATTTTGAGGTTCGAGATTGACTGGAAGCGGGAGACCTGAGCGAGGAGACAGCGGAGATTCCGAAATGGGACTTCGCAGAGATTTGAACAATAGGATGTTCATCCGTTGGTGAGGATATCGTCGCTGCCTCTGATTTTGTGCTCGCCACCTTCCGCTTCCACCTTTGTTTTCGTTCGCGAAGTTTCTGGATTTGTTGTTGGCGGGCTTGCTGAAGATGTAATATGAGCAGGAGTATTCACATTTGTACATGCTACGCCATAGAAAACTAGCCTTTTTCAACGCGCGTTTTGATATAGCTGGAGGTTCATCCGCATCCACCATATCTCCAACCTCAGACACTTCTTCCTCAGCTTGAGACTGTCCTTCCCCATCTTCTTCATCTTCCTCATCCAAAATATCACTCTCGTCGGCAGAGGCTTGCTCAGAAACTTTGGATTCATCTTCGTCTGGATCATTTTGGTCAGAGTCCGACTCGGATTCATCCGAATCCGTATTCACAGCGTTGATCCCCAGAGCTTCCCTCATTTCCTCGTCAATTCCCAAGGCTTCTTCTTCCTCTAAGCGTTTACGCTTTCGTGCGATGCGTTTGAACATGATGATGTCGAAGTAAACAGTCAAGATGGGGATGCCAGCAGGCTATTACATAATTCAGCGTCAATTCAAGACCTGAAGGCTGAGCCTGCCTTAATTTTGATTTTTCTCTCTGATTCAATCTTCGGAAGTCCATTCGCGCTATACTGTAGAATATGAACAAGAAGTACGTATATCGTGTGGAACATTCCTATGATACACCATCAATGTACTACTAGAACAGTGGACCACTTCATGACTGGGGAATCCGAACTCTTGCTCGTGGAATACTTGAACATCATGCAGCCATCATCGTACATACTGGAAAGGGAGAGAGAATAGAGAACGTGTAAAAATCATCATGATCGCCTAAATGGCTAGGTCATCATCAATCATAGGACACGCTGAGTCGCTGACCAAACGAGATTTCAATGAACAAGATGAAGACCCTGATATCACTGTCGTACCATGTCCGTTATGAAGAACCCTTCACCCTCTCGGAGCCTTGGCGGGCACCGCGGGGGCGACCGCGGGTGAAGTTGGGACTCCTTGAACTTTATCGGGGTGAATTCCGCCTTCAGCTTTCTGGACCAATTTTGGTGGGAACTCCATTTGCTAGTATCCTGAATCAGTCACACTGGTATCATTTGGCAGAAGCCAGAAAGGCTCACCCCATATTTGAATTGAACGAGTACTTCCTTCGATCTATACTGTGCCAAATCTCCTCTCAGAGCATTTGGAAGGAAATACCACTTTTCCCGT